GAGACAAAAATGCCAAGAAGATGAATTGATTTGCCGCGGTCATATCTTGAATGCCCTGTCGGATCGCTTATATGATTTGTATACAAATACAACTTCAGCAAAGGAAATCTGGAATGCTTTGGAAAGTAAGTATAAGGCGAAAGAGGAAGGTACAAAGAAGTTTTTAATTTCTAAGTATTTTGATTTTAAATTCTTAGAAAATATCCCCCTACTTCCCCCAGAGCTTGAGTTGCAAGTGATTGTCAATAAATTGAAAGTGGTGAAGATTGAAATCCCAGAGACCTTTCAAGTGGGGGCTGTAATTGCTAAACTCCCGGGGACTTGGAAAGGATACGGAAGAAAATTATGCATATTTCGGAAGATTATTCTTTGGAACAATTGCAAAAACATGTTTGGATTGAGGAAGAATCCCGATTGCGTGACAGGAGTGAAAACTCTTTGGAGGAAACTTCCAAAGCTAATGCTATTGAGAAATCTGATCCGCCTACAAAATCTAACAAGAGGAAGCCTTCAAGGAACTTTAACAAGTCCAAAAAGAAGACCAAAGGAGGATGTTATGTTTGTGGAAAATCTGGACACTACGCAAAAGATCGTAGACACCGAAAACACAACACCTCCGAAGGTAAAGTAAATTCCATCCAAGAAGAAAAGATTGTGGCCACCATAAGCGAGATAAATGCTATTAAAGGAAAGGTTCCCAACTGATGGTATGATCTTGTGCCACGGTACATGTATTATATGACAAATCTTTATTCAAAACATATAATGAAGTGGATGGAGATCAAGAGATACAAATGGGTAACGAGGTGAGATCCAAAGTGATTGGAAAAGGAAGTATAGACATTATCTTCACTTCCGGGAAAAACGTTACTCTCACAAATGTGCTACATATTCCGGATATGAATAGGAAACTAGTGAGTGGAAATCTCTTGGAAAAATCGGGTATTAAAAGTGTCTTTGAGTCCGGTAAACTTGTATTATCCCTCAACGGGAAATTTGTTGAAAATGGCTATTCTTGTGAAGGAATGGTTAAGTTATGTACTATTGACAATGAAATAAATAAAACTGATTTCGCTTATGTTGTGGATTCATTTTCATTATGGCATGCTAGATTAGGTCATGTTGGAATAAGTGCCATGAAACGCATGAAAAATTGTGAATTGATCTCATATGATGGAAATAATGAAAATAAATGCAAGATTTGTGTTGAATCTAAAATGATCAAAAAGTCTTACCATAGTGTAAAAAGGACTTCTAACATTTTAGAACTTATTCACACCGATATATGTGAAATGAATGGCATGTTAACTAAAGGTGAAAATAGGTACTTTATTACCTTCATTGATGACTTTTCTAGATATACGTATGTTTACTTGATAAAACATAAAAGTGAAGCTTTTGATATGTTTAAAGTATACCAAAACGAGGTTGAAAATTATCTGGAAAAGAAAATTAAAACCTTGAAAAGTGATAGAGGTGGTGAATATTTCTCCAATAAATTTAATTTGTTTTGTGAACAACATGGAATTATTCATTAATGTTCTGCACCTAGAACACGTGAATAAAACGGCTTGGCTGAAAGAAAAAATAGAACATTTGTAGAAATAATAAATGCCGTGCTTATTCATGCTAAGTTGCCATTTAATTTGTGGGGTGAAGCTTTGTTGAATGCATGTAGAATACATAATAGAATTCCTTCGAAATATATTAAGGTTTCTCCTTATGAATTATGGAAAGGAAGAAAATCAAACATTAGATACTCCAAAGTATGGGGGTGTCTTGCTTATAGCAAGAACACAAATCCTAATATGACCAAATTGGGTCCAAGAGGCATTAAGTGTGCCTTTGTGGGATATGTAAATAATAGCAAATCTTATAGATTGCTGAATTTGGAGTCCAATGTAATTATCGGATCCAACGATGTGGAGTTCTTTAAGGATTAATTGTCTTCGGATAATAAATTGAGGGAAAACTTTGAAAATATCCCTAGCTCAAGTGGAACACATTATGAAACGTATTCAAAAGATGTTGATGAATCTAGTGAAGCACAAAGAAGCAAGAGAACTCGGGCTGAGAAGTCTTTGGGACCGGATAAAATTGATTCTCAATTTATCTCCTTCTACTTGGTAGAGGGAAATGAGTTGAATGTTGTAAAGACAATTCCTTTTGTTCTACAAGTGGAATCTGGCCCTAAGACTTATAAAGAAGCTATGGCTTCACGTGATAGCATCTTTTGGAAGGATGTAATTAAGGACGAAATGGATTCGATAATATCCAATAACACTTGGGAGCTTGTTGATCTACCACAGGGATCCAAATCCATAGAATGTAAATGGGTATTTAGAAGAAAAATAATGTTGATGGATCCTTAAATACTTCAAGGCTAGATTAGTAGCCAAAGGATATCGGCAAAAAGAAGGAATTTACTACTTTGATACCTATGCATCGGTTGCTAGAATAACATCGATCAGGATGTTATTCGCTTTAGCTTCAATATATGACTTGCATGTTTATCAAATGGATGTCAAAACAGCATTCCTAAATGGAGATCTCGATGATAAGGTCTATATGGAACAACTTGAAGGGTTTGTCCTACCCAGAAATGAACATAAGGTATGCAAGTTGGTGAAATCCTTGTACAGATTGAATCAAGCACCTAAGAAATGGCATGAGAAATTTGACTTAGCAATTATATCATTCGGGTTTAAGCATAATATTGTAGATAAATGTTTACATTTCAAAGTACGTGGAAATTATGTGACATTTATATGCTTATATATTGATGACATTTTGATTATGAGTAATCATATGGACGGCATAGAAGAAACGAAGAGGTTTCTATCTTCCACATTCAAAATAAAAGATCTTGGACATGTGGATACCATTTTAGGTATCAAAGTCACAAAGACTAGTGGGGGTTACTATTTGAGTCAATTACATTATATTGAGAATGTGATAAATAAATTCAAACACTTGAACTTAAAGAAATATAGTACCCCAATCGATCCAAATCTGACTCTTATAAAGAATAGTAGAAGGACGATTGCTCAATTGGAGTATGCAAGTGCTATAGGGAGTTTTATGTATGCAGTTCAATGCACAAGACCGGACATAGCCTATGCAATAAGTAAACTCAGCAGGTTTACTAGCAATCCGAGCAATAATCATTGGAAGGCCATTGGGAGAGTTCTTGGTTATTTAAAGAAAACTAAGAACTTGGGCCTACAATATAATAAATTCTCGACAGTATTGGAAGGATTTACCGATGCAAGTTGGACATCTAACACGGGTGAAAGTAAATCCACCTCGGGTTGGGTGTTTATTCTTGAAGGAGGTGCTGTTTCTTGGAAATCAAAGAAACAAACATGCATAACATACTCAACCATGAAATCCGAATTTGTTGCACTATCGGATATCGGGAAAGAAGTTGAGTGGCTTAAGAATCTCTTCTATGAGATACCTTTGGGATCGAAGAGTGTGTCTTCAATACTTATCATGTGTGATAGTCAAGCCACGTTAGCGAAAGCATACAATGAAAAGTCTACACATATGAGTCTTAAGACATGACTACATAAGGAAATTAATCAAAGATGGAATAATTTCCCTAAATTATGTAAAGTTAATTGAGAACTTCGGATCCTTTAACTAAACCACTAAATAGAGATTTAGTGGCATCTACTTTGAGTAGGATGGAGTTGAAACTCCTTTCAAATAAAGGTCCACCAATGGCGGCAACCCTACCGATCATTACTCAAAAGGTAATCCATGGGTTCAAAGGGTAAAAACATGTCATTCGATATGTGGGATGGTCACAGCATTATTAAAATCCGCAATGACTCTATCCTAAGTAAAATAATGCTATTTGTTACTGAAGTGAGGGTTGAACATTAAAACTCTTAATGAAGTTCAGTGCTAAAACACAAGTACCTCTAAAAGTAACAAAGGTACTGGAAGAATTTCACCTAAACAAACTTCGAGGTGGTGCCACCTCAAGTGAGAGTTGGAGTTTCTCTGTTAAAAAGTTTGTTGAATAGGATGAGCGCAAGGCCATAACAGCGTTAAGCGAGATATGAGGAACTTGAGAACACGTGGTACTCGTGTGTGTGTTCGGACCGGTATTGTCACTTGGAATAACTGGTTCAAAGCTACGGCTACCTTTGATTCCGACTTTACTTTGTTTGGATTACACTATGGCTAGATTCAAATCAAAAGATATCTAGTTCTTATGCATGAGTATCGTATGATTTGAGTATGAGATTTCTTTATTGAAATTTTGAGCAAGTGGGGGATTGTTATATTGTTGTTCGAAATTCAATTAAGGAATGAAAATGGAATGAAACAATATGAAAGAAGCCAAAGAAAAACCGGCGTGGAAATCAAACGGTGGAAATATAAAGAAAAAACGGAGGCCCAAACTTTGTGCCATGCGACCGCATGGCCATGTACCGAGATTTAAAGAGGCCCTTCCATTACTCCATGCTGCAGCATGGATTAATGTCATGCGGCCGCATGGTGAATTCCTGTGACCGTTGGGAGACGTTTTCCTACTGTTATAACTTCAAAAGTGGTGGCTTTTCAACCTATTTTGACACCATTTCGTGCACACTTGGTGATGGCCTATAAATAGGTGATAAATCGAAAGCCAAATAATGTGAATAACATTTTGTGATCAATACTCATTCCAAAATCAAAGATCAAACAATTGATTGATATTCCGACTCAATTTCTTCTTTGTGTTTTTAGAGTTTTGGAGGATTGCACTTATGCTTTGGTGCTAGATCCTTTACAAGGCTTGTTATAATCCTACAAACCGTTTGCCAAAGATCCTTAAACATCTCATTCAATCCCAAGAGGCAAATATAGTTTGAGGACATCGATTATGCGTTCGAGCCTTCCATTTTATTTTCTTCAAATTTTTGGATATTAATTCAACTTGTGATTACATTTTCATTTTTGTTGTCTCTTCTTCATTCCTCTATATATTTCTAACAAGGATATCATGTTTCTGCTTAAAAAGTTGCTCAGTATCACAAAAACACAAGTTGATGCTTATTCAAGAGTGTAACTTAACTATATTTCAAGCCAGTAGTTGCCAATTTTATCCTTCTCCACCTCATTCTCTCGTATCTTTCTTTCTTTCCTTCATGATTCTCTTCTTTCCTTCCTGGGTGCCTGCCTGCCTGCCTTCCTTCCTTTTCTTCTTTGTGCAATACAACAGCTCAGGTGCCTCAGTTCTAGCAACTACCTCTGCAGCAACTCACACCACCAAAATTCTCTTCTACCTCGCCATTTCTTTCCTTGTTATTTTCAAGTTTCTCCAGCCGCACACGGAGTGCCTCCCCTGTTTCTAGCTCCTATACCACTAGTGACAGTATCAACTTCGGCTGAATCCTTTCTCCTCTGCTTTTGCTATTTGCTAAACTCTCTCAAACTTCCAACCCCCCACACCACACGCTACTGCTAAGCTGCACGTGGCAGCCACTTCATCATCATTAGCTTTGGTGTCTCTATAATCAGAAACAGTTGGAGAGGGGTTCTACGTGTCAGCTTCTGCTGTCATTTTCAGCAACTTTAATCTCTAGTTTTTTTTAAGAAAAAAATATAGTTTTACTTTCTTAATATTGTAGTATCAGTAATTTCTAAAATGAGTCGATTATTTCTATTGAAACTATACCTCTCAATTTATAATTTGCTTAGAATAGATTATTGTATTAATTCCTAATTATCACTTATCGTGTATGCAGGGGTGCAGAATATCCTGATCTCTGGCCTTCTCCCTCCTATAATGAGCCTCTGGACGTTTCTAAGAACTTTACATTTGATGTGATATCAGGCATCCTGGCAGGTTATTATATTTTCTTCAACTATTCAAATATATCTGATACTCGACACTTCTATGGCTTGATTAAACTTCAACTGAGTTGTCTTCTTCTTGTGCTGCTATGCTTAATTCTTTTTTTAAATTAAATATTTTCCTTCCATGTGTATTAAAATATTACCTATTTTTATTTTCGATATTAAATAACTTCTCTTAGCAACACATGTGATGAATCTGAAGCTTATGTTCTCCCGTTTCGTGGAACATTAGATTAAGACTTCATCAAAATTATTGGAATCGCGTATCCTTTTGTAGTCAAGACCGAATATGCGAAAAGAGAATCTAATCGTAAGAAATAATTGATCATGTAGCTTGAGTTGTGATAGTTCCAAGATCTGATAGGAGATTGTCTCCAAATGCTTCTCCGTGCACTTCGATTAAATGTGCTGGTGTGGAGATCTTCCAATGAATTGTTATTTTTTAGTTTTGATAGATACTCATTTAATAGATAGAGGACAGAGATATATCCTCGAATACAGAAGAGGCCGATTACTTGAATTCTCTTATTCAATGATCTAAGGCGTTTAAATAGGCTTGCATTCAACGTTTAGAAATTAGAAAATAGCAATTGAAAGGAACGTACAGAACTGGACGTGTCACAGCTGATGTTCTAGCTTGGGAGGAGTTTTCGAACGTACAATATTTCATCAATCAACAAAATTATTAGGCATTGAATATTAATAGTATAGTATCTTCTTAACATTGATTACGCATAACACATATTCCGCTCTTTTTTCCTTTGTAGGGGAAACTAGAATTCGGAAAGTGGAGGACCAAACTTTGTCCTAGTTATGATGATATGGAGGCTATCTTTGGAAATGACTGTGCTATAGGACATTGCGCTGTAATCGACAATGATAATTTATCCTCCATACCCGGTATGTAAAAGATCGTAAATAAAAATTTTTATATATTTCATATTATATGAAAGATCCTAACAAGTTCTTTTTTTCTCAGATAAAAAAATGAGTGAAGTTGACGGTCAAAACGATGATATAGATCCAGGCCCAGTTCGAGCTCCTAAGCATAACATCGAAGTAGGAACCAACAAAATTCGATGACGACGTACCCAACCCAATGATGAAAGTCGCATAGCCATATCAAGCATTGCTGAATCGCCTAAAAAAATTGCAAATGCAATGGAGATTCAAGCAACGTTAGATACACTAAACCATATCAATTGGCAATTGATTCTAGAAAAATTACAAAACATTGAGAAGCATGACATAATGCAAGTCATGAAAGTATTTCATTCTGATGAGAGTCTGGCTAGAGTATTTATGAGCTTGACTGATAAAGAATTCATGTGTGATTTGGTCTTTGAGAATATTTGTCATGAACCGCCTCCACTACTTTAAGATGACGTGATTGGATAATTCAACAAACATATGTAAAAGTATGATATTTATGTTGGTATGAATTGCTACTTCTTGTAATAGAGATTTTTTTTTATTTTATTTTAACTTTTGTTCTTCTGTTCTATGCTGGACATAATCTCATCATTGTTTATTTGATTATCTCATAGTAATTGGAATGAAAAATAATTAATTCTTTTATATGAGTATAAATCAGAATTGGTGAGGCTGTTTTCCTTATTGTTATAAATTCTATTATTTTTTATAACATTATCGTCAAATTACAACTTCTTCAGAAAAATATATTCAAAGATACTCAATATATTTAATTGTGAAGGGACCATTGTTTAGTACATCAAAAAATTGACTGGGTAATTGTCATGGAAAAAATGATGATTTCCATGGAAAAAGGGATAATTTTCATAGAAAATAATGGCTGTCAATCAACTAACGTTGGAAAAAATGATTATTTTCATGGAAAATAATGGCTATCAAATACTAAAAGATGGAAAAATGCAATATTTCTACATAGAAAATTAAGTTAATCAAACATCTATAATTAACAATTTTCATGTAAGTAATTGCGAGGCAATTGAATTACCTAGAAAATATTTTCTTTCAATACAAATTCTATTTTCACAATCAAAGGCACCCTTAAAGAAAATGAAGGGAAAAAAGTTGAAAAATCAAATTGATCTCAGTTATATTGGCACTAATTCGAACATTTTTGTATTTTTCTTTGTCATTTTTTCAGTGTTCCTACTATTTCTCTTTCAATCATTTTATACGAAGTTCGAGATACGGTGAACTAATATCAAATGATCTAAAAATCAAACGTACCTTTATCGTGATGGAAACTATATGTCGAGTAGAACTTTTTTCTCTTCATTTTCTTTAGTTTCTTCTTTCACATAAGTTGATTTGGGGAAAAATGAAATTGTTACTACTTAATAACTGAATTTAAAAATGTATTTCAATGGTCATTGAACTTCATCAAGTGTTACTACTTCATAACCAAACTCAAAAATATATCTTAATGATCACTAAACTATGCACCGTGTTACCCTTCCTTCACTCAAGTCGACGTAACAAATTTAATGGATTTTTCATTTGTTACGTCGACTTGAGTGAAGGAAGGGTAACACGGTGCATAGTTTAGTGATCATTGAGATATATTTTTAAGTTTAGTTATGAAGTAGAAACACTTGGTGAAGTTTAGTGACCATTGAGATATATTTTTAAATTTAGTTATTCAGTAATAACAAATGGCAAAGTTAAGTAACCATTCATGTAGGTTAACCCCATATTATCATGATATTATCCACTGTAATTACTATTATCATTGCAATGTGCGTGCATATTTACCTAACTGATTTCTCAATACTCGAGATAGGGTACATAAGCAATATTTTAGTTTCAACAGGTGTACAAAGTTTTAAGATTCTTTGCCCACTTTGTGTAAGATTATTGATATGTCCTTTTTTCAATGCCAAATCTTCTTGCAGTTGTTCAGATTTTCTTTAATGCCATCCATAAAGATATGAAAGCTGAGAACCTTAATGTTTTTTTTCTGAACTTAAGTCTAAATTAACAGTACAGCAGAAGTTTGACTTAATTTCCTTAGCCGAAAGGGAAGACTGAACTCAGTTTAGACCACCCACAAATCCGTGGTCGGCAACTTTGAATCTCTGAAAGGGATGGATTTCCATGAAACTCGTTCTTATTGTGCTTTAGTGAAGTCAAAAGTAACAATTTTTGTGCAACAGATATTCAATGATTCCAGTTAAAGGGTTGACACCACCATTTGAAAATGTGTTCTTTTTTGTGTTCTATTTGCTTTATTCGAGAACGAATAACTTTATTTCATCGCGCACTTAGACATGTGATTTTTGTCGTAATTCTTGGCACGCAGTTTTGTACAAGTCAATCATTGTTTGTAAATTGGAGAAATTGGAGAAAGTTAAGAGAAATCTGTTGACATGAATGAGTTGCTGGTGGGGCTGGCAATGGCATCTTATGAGTTATTGGATGACAATGAGATTTGCTTATTGCTGTGGGAATGGGGAAGGGTCTTTATCATTAGGGAAATGGCATAAGGAGACCCACAAACTGTAGCTCTAAGTGGCACAACATGTTCAGCACTACTTTTATAAGTTAGCCCTTGTTTGATACATATTCTACAAATTATATTTTTTAACTATATTTTTTTCAACAATTTAATTTTCACAAAATATATTTTAAAAAAGCCTACATTAAACAGGATCATATTTATTTTGTAGTTGAAATAAATGATTTACTTATTTTGTGTATGTTGATCAAAGAAGAAACTATAATGAAACACAACATAATTGATATTCCCAATTATATTAACAGTTTTTTATATAGTTTGTTCATTGTTCAAACACGCGTTTTTGAGAACGAATTGGTGGAAGAGTAATGATACTCATCACTAGCGGTGATCTATACAAGTTATACGACAATGGAATTTTCAGTTCATAATTTAATGGAGTTGTGATGCGTTGGACAATGAATCAAGCAACATGTCACATGTATAGTGATGGAGCACTATTAATGACGCATATTATTCATTGATGGACTGCTTGGTCACCAAGTACTACAGAGTATTAATCTTTTGATAGCATAATTCTGTAAACTTGATAAATTGGAGAATAATGTTATCTAGCACTTGTCTAGACAAAAATGAAGAGCGCGTCATCTAAAATCTAGACAAATAATATTATTTTTGGAATATATTTATAACTTAATTGAACAATTTTAGATGAACTTCACTGTCACGTCCACTTATAGTAAATACCAATTGTACTTAATTAGGTGAATTGTAGCCAATTGGCAGTCGAATTAGGACCGAGCTACTTAGCCACAATGGGTGACATCGAGGTTGAGACAACACACACATGAGGGGTCAGGATTATTTTATTCAAGTGAAACCCACCTTAGCATGTGAGGGCGCGATCATCCATTGTATCAACCATGATGTTCATTTGGCATTTTCGGTCAAATTAATGGAATTATAATCAGGTGACACGTGGAAGGAAGCCATGTCTATGAGACTAGTACCCGGCTACACAGGTAAATTTAACCTCAAGCCCCGTTTTAAGTGAAAGAATGTATTCTTAAATAGTGTGATGGGGAATGCATGGTTAAAGATTAATGAAAAATTTTGGGTTTACGTGTCATATTATTTAATTAAAGAATGTATAGTTAAAAATGAATTTTAGAAAAATGAATTTTTGGAAGAATGAGGCTCAAAACAAGGGCTTAGCATTTCGTCGGCCACGCCCCAGTTTTAGGACTTCTGATTTTCCCTGGTCTTGTGCCCTTGTTTGGCACCCATTTTAATGAGAAATTTTGTTAAAATATATTATAAAATAATTATTTTTTGGGAGAATGTGTGGTTAAAAAAGAATGAAATTTTTTTATTTACATATAATATTATTTTATTAAATAATATATGACTGAAAAGAAGAGAAAGAAAAATGTATTAAAATTTTAATTGATGCTAAACAGGGGCTTAACTGTTCAAAGATGTCAATTATTGACGTGAATTACTGAACGGTCGAACATTTTTTGAAGAGTCATCGTTTCCGTGCGTGGCCTTTGATTGGTCCACAAAATGTGTCTAGAGGGTCCTTGAGGATCAGGAATTAATTTGTACTGAAATTTCTTATGAAGAGGAAATGAATTTTTTCTTGAATATCGTCTATTAAGCCTATTTTACAATCATTATTTTAGAACTATTTATTCTATATACTCAATTTCAGTTGCCCATTTACACATTTAGCCTTTGCTTGAGCCACATTATTTTTATAAGAATGCATATTTAAATAGTGTATTGATGAAAAATGTGGTTAAAAAATAAAGAATTTTTTTTGATTTGATTGTAATATTATTTTATTGAAAAATTGTGATTAAAATGATGTCAAGTCACTATTTAAGAATGTATTTTTTGAAAGAATGTGGCTCAAACAGGACCTTAAATATTTTGTACGTAAATCCAAATTTTTTCTATTTTTTAACCACACATTTCCAAAATTTCATTATTGAAAACAATGTTTTGAACAAATAATAGCCATCAAACAGGGGCTAAAAAAGATTGACAAAGTATTGAAATTTGGAATTTCATCTTAAAATGTCTATATTTTCATTTTTATTTAATGTGGGATTTATCTTGAAATTTGTGTGCTCATATCTTTTAACTTTAGTCAGATCGAATTACTCTTTAAAATTTAATGGGCTTTAGTATCATGTTAAAACTTTATTCCATTTTAAAATATCAACATTATTTTAGTCCAAACTCTTATAAGTAAATCTATGTTTTCATCTCTATTCGATATTGAATTTTATCACTTAACATATCTTAAAAAGATGGTGACTAGTTTTAGCAGATCAATCTTGAAATTCGTGTGCTCTTTTTTGCCTCAATCAGATCAAATTGCTCATTTGAGCTTATTAGGCTCTTATACCATATTAAAATTTGAGATTCCATTTTAAAATGTTAATTTATTAAAATGAGTAGTTCATAACCTTATAAATAGGTTTATATTTTCAGTGTTATTCGATGTGGAATTTATTTCTTAACAAAAAGGAATAGAAACTTTTTTGACCTTCGGACAAATCTTACTTAATCAAGTAAAATTCCAAGTTTATCCGACATATGTACTAGAAAATTGAAGGGTGAAATTCTTATTCAAAAGGATATTGATATTTTAAATTAGAGAGACAATAGAAGAAAATAGAAAGTTAATAGACTTAATCATTTTTTATGAAGATCCAAAAATGATGTACTTATATATTAGAACTAGGGTTGCAGGGTTCAATAGTTATAATAATTAAGGTTGTAGGGATATAAGTTTACAACACTCCTCATTGAATTATTAATTACACAATACATGACAAGTTAAAAATCTTGTTATTTAAACATAGAACTAGACAAGAATATCAAAAGAAAGAAAATGAGTAATTATTTTGGGAGTATGATGCCTCATTTCAACATTGTCAAGAAAATTAAGTAGGAAAAAAAAACCTTGAACAAATGAAAAAGAGTACAGTTACTGTCATA